TCCTCACATGACAAATGTTTCTTCTGTGTTTGGTAGTTGAATCATTTCGTGGGTAATATCCATGGAGCCCTAGGAACAGGAGGGTGAAAGTCATTCATCACAGCATCCGGCCTTCAAACACAGGCCAGCATTGAGTGAGTGCTCAGCCGTGTCCGACTGTTTGCGATTCCATGGACTGTAGCCTGCCAAGCTCCTCTGTCTCTGGGATTCTCTGGCAAAAAACTGGAGTGGGTTGCCGTTTCCTTCTCCAGGGGATCTTCCTGACCCAGGGGTTGAATGTGAATCTCCTGCAGTGCAGGCAGACTCTTTACCGCTGAACCACTGAGGAAGCGCAGGCCCGCATTATATCCTGACACGTTAAAGATCTCTGGATAGAACCAGAAACAGGTAAACATTTATGGTACCTCAAAGGAAATGGCAGAAGTCAAGTGGATGGAGTGGATGTTGCTTTTCTGTTTCCCATTCATTTCTAAATTAGCCCAGGGAACACATGCACACATAAATCCCTCAGCCACTCCTTGTCCTAGCCTCTCGGCTACATATTTCTAATGTAACCATATATTTTATATTGTAGCTGAAGAATTAATGCATTAATGTTTGTCACAGAGAAGGAAAATCAGCAAGAATTAACTATGATAGGTTCTCAAATTTTTTAATGTCTAAGTTCATCTTCTGCTTTGGGTATTTCTGTTTAAAAAGTCTGCTTGTTTTCCTCTAGGGATGAGTGAAATGGCATGCCTTCTCCCCACCGCCCCATTTCACAGCAGGGAGCAAAACCTAGAAGTTTCTTTCTTTTTCCATCTTTGGCTGTGCTGGGTCCCCACTGCCGTGTGTGGGCTCTCTCTAGTGGCAGCGAGCAGGGGCTGCTCTCTAGTTGCGGTGCCTGAGCTTCGTAATGCAGTGACTTCTCTTGTTGTGGAGCACCGGCTCTAGAGCGCCTGGGCTTCAGTAGTTGCCACACGTGGGCTCAGTAGTAGCAGCTCCCAGGCTCTGGAGCTCAGGCTCGATACTTGTAGCACTTGGGCTTAGTTGCTCCTTGACACTTGGGATCTTTCCAGACCAGAGATCGAAGCCATGTCCCCCGTATGGAATCTAGAGTCGGACACGACTGAGCGACTGAACTGAGTTGAACTTGGGCTGACACCACTCAACACTCCGTGGACTAGTTATTCTGACCTTCTGGTATCACTGTTAGATTGTTGTCTGACCTGACCTCTGACTAAGGGTCTACTTTGTCATAGTGAATGAATACCTTGTGACTGGAAATACTCTCTGACCTCAGACGGACTGGTCATAGACTCACTACTGCAATCATATTAACAAATGACCAAGAAAGGAACTGAAGGCTGAACTGCAAAACTCCATGGACCCGGGATCTACAGAGAAGACACTTTGAGGAGAGCCTGATGCCTTGTGGGTGGGGGTGACTCCTATGGTTCAGAGTGGGGCTCTAGAGACACCTGTGTGACATCACTTTCTTGCTTGTAATCTTGAGCAGATTACTTAGGTAACTTTGACTTTAAAATGGGGATAAACATAGATAACCAACCTCATGGGGTTTTTTAACTAAGATTATTCACCTAAAAGGTTTAGGGTGTGCTTAGACACTTAAATATATACTTTTGGTGTTAGTATCACCAACTTAATATTATCATTATTGTACCTCGCTTTTAATTAATCTCTGATAGCAGATCTTAATTAGGCACTTGTCTGCCATGTGAATTCATTCATCCATTCATTTATTTATCAAAGGTCTAATGAATATCTCCTTTGTGCCAGACACTCAATAAACAAAATAGAGATCCCTGAAGGTATGGAATTTATATTCAGCTGGAGGAGACAGACAATACACAATAAACCTAACAAATAAATTACATAAAGAAGAGCTTCCCTGATGGCTCAAGAGGTAAAGAATCCGCTGGCAATGCAAGAGACACAGGAGACACAGGTTCAGTCCCTGGATAAACAAATTATATCATGCAGATTATATGGGGAAAAGAAAATCAGAGCAGAGAAAGGGGGGCTGTGAGTCCTATGGGTGGATGTGATCGGCAGAGATCAATGAGAAGGTGACAGTCAAGCAAAGACTTGATGGGGAAGGAGTTGGACATGAGGCTGCCTGGGGCAGATTATCCAGGCAGGGGGGTGGCAGTGAGGCTCTAAGTGTGAGTGTGCCCAGCATGTGTGAGGCCAGCAAGAAATAGAGGGAGCTGAGGCTTTTAATCTGAGATTCTGAGCAAAGAAAGAACTCTGTTCTCATCCACAGCCCAGGCAGGGATCCCTCACGTCCAGCCAATGTTAACTTCTCCCACCAAACTTCATCCTATCTAAACAACCTCAGCATTTTTACCAAGGTTTTTGCCTTAACCACAGACTTTGTGTAGACCAAATGTCTCCCTTGTACCTTCATGTGATTATACTTCTGATTAAGACAAGCCCAACTGAAATAATTAGCCTTCAGATAAATAAGCAACTCATAGTATATGACTTTTCTAAATGTTGCTGCCTCTTTTGGAAGTCAGCATGTCGTTGTTCAGTCACTAAGTAGTGTCTGATTGTAACCCCATGGACTGCAGCCCACCAGGCTCTTCTGTCCTCCGCTATCTCTTGAAACATGTAGTTCTTAGCAATATTAAATACATCATTGTTGAGATAGTATATGCATGGCTATGGAGAAACAGTTATTCATAATATTATGTGCTCAGTCACTAAAACATGTTCAACTCTTTGCCACCCCACGGACTGCAGCCCATCAGGCTTCTCTGTCCATGGGATTTCCCAGGCAAGAATACTGGAATGAGTTGGCATTTCCTCCTCCAGGGGATCTTCTTGACCCAGGGATTGAACCCATGTCTCCTGCATTGCAGGCACTCTTTACCACTGTGCCACCTGAGAAGCCCCATAATACTATCTCTGGGTTAATAAACATAGGATTCTTTTGATACCTTTCCCCCTTTATGTTCTACACATTTTTCCTAAAATTTTTTATTTGAAGGATAATTGCTTTACAGAATTTTATGTTCTATTTATTTCTTGAAAATGCTTAGTCTTATCCTCTGCTGATTTGGTTATAGGTGAGGTCATGTCTCAATTATATGATACGATTTCCTCTGGAGCAGATATTCAACTTAATTTAGTATGCAGTAATACATTTTACAAGCTCAATCAAAGTTTAATTACATTAATTAGAGGTCCTCATTTAGATTTTAATTTATTAAGTACTGGGAATTTTTGTTTGTTTTTCATCTTCATGAAACCCAGTTAGTTGATGAAGCTGCATTAAAACGAGAAGTTTCCATTAAAAATAATGTGTTCTGTTAATATCTACTTAATAATGAACTAGAAGAAAAGTCAGATAAAATATGTAATTGTTACAGATGATACTACAATTACTTCCCAGTGACAGTTCTTTATCATTTTGGTTAATGTAGCAATGAAGTCTGCTTGGAAGCAGAGTTGAAATTTAAGAATTTAGGATATTGAAAGAGTGGATTGATTTAATGATCAGCTCATCTTCCCTGGGAAGTAAGCTTCTTATGGGAGTATCAATTTTTGCTGTTGTTGGGTGGAAAGACTAAAGGCATCTGGTTTGAATTTATTGTCTTTAAGACAGTTTTCCATTTATTATCATTAATACAGTATAGGTTTCTAGAGAGAATCTAATAATACAGCAAATATTCAATGTGTATGGGGATACATTTGAAAATTAAGATAGTGGTCTCCTCAGTGGTCCCTCTAGACCCAGTAGAGCAGGGGCTGTGACCCGAAATGCCTTCAGGAGAGTGGTGAGAAATGTACAGAGTGAAGCATGCTAGTGTCAGAGGACAATGTAACTGAGAAGCAGCCGCGTCCGGGCAGCATCAGGGAGTGGTGCGGACGGCAGTACACTGGAGAGACAACCCCGTCTAAGTGGGTCAGCCACTTCTCAGTCAATTCTTGCCACAAGGAAACAAAAGCCTAGTGTTGCCAGATCTTCTGATTTAGTTGGAGAAGCCAGAAATTCTGATTTTTGGATCAAGTTTTCCAGTTTTTAAATGTTGGCAGCTAGCTAAACAACAACAACAACAATCTATGTAGATTCAACAAATCATGCCTTCAGGACAAAATCAGTCCACAGCCTGCCTCTTGGTCACATCGTGGTGTACATTTCAGACAGTGAACCTGAGAAGCGGAGGAAGGCTTCATAGGTGTGACTGCATTTCAGAAGTCTCATTTCTCTTTGCTGTGTCTAGAAATCACCTCATCCCAAGCAGCTTTTTTCAGACCTAGTATTCTATGTTGCTATTAGGAACAGGGGATGTTACTGGAGTCATGTACAATTATTACATAGTGACTGTAAATGTACTAATAATATATATATGTACTAATAATAGATAAGTATACAAAATTTATGGCTTCTCTGGTAGCTCAGCTGGTAAAGAATCCACCTGCAATGCAGGAGACCTGGGTTTGATCTCTGGGTTGGGAAGATCTCCCGGAGGAGGGCACGGCAATCCACTTCAGTATCCTTGCCTGCAGAAGCCCCATGGACAGAGGAGCCTGGCGGGCTACAGTCCGTGGGGTCACAGAGAGTCAGACACGGCCAAGCACAGCACACAGCACACACAGAATTGATGCATTTCTGCTTTTCTAAGTGTGTTTATATTTTAATCTTGCTGTTGTTGTTCAGTCGCTAAGTCATATCTGACTGTGACCCCATAGACTGCAGCACGCCAGGCCTCCTTGTCCCTCACCATCTCCTGGAGTTCACCTAAGTTTATGTCCATTGGATTGGTGATGGACATAATGGATGTTTAATCTTATATTATTATCCCCCCAAATTATAAGCTACATAGGAACAAACCTATAAGCCCAGTTGTAGTTTTGAATTCTTAGGGACCGATATACTACCCAGTGTCACACAAATAAGGTAGGGGCAAGCCTGAGATTCTACTTCAGGTTTATTTACTCTGACTGATGAGCTTTTTCTACAATCTAGACTTCTTATCTTTGTATTCCAGGTCATGACCAAACTCAATACAGAATCCTACTGCAAGAAAAAAGTGTACAACATTAATCTATTGAGAAGCTACACAATACACATGATACCCTCCTGGGAAAACTTGCCATAGAACAAAGGAACTTCTGCTAAAATGCAAATATGGGCACGGGTTCTAAAATAAATTCTGAATTCGTTTTTTTGTAAGATTAACCCTGCTTTTCATTTATCTGTTCCAAGATCACTGCAAGATGAAGAATATATTTGTTAAAGAAATAAGTCAAACACATAAAAAAAGACAAAATAGATCATGGCTGTGTGTCTTTTATTTGTGACATTTGAATTCTTAAACTCACAAAGAACTAATTTCATAAATATTCTTTAGTTTTATTTTCCATTTTTAATTGTTTTTTATTGTTAGTTTGTTCTTATAACCAAACCCTTAATTTAATCACAAGTGGAACTAAAATTATGCTAAATCTTTTTTCCTGATGCAATTAGAAAAGATACTGAAAAACTTCGAAATTAGAACACTGAAAGCTAGTAAAACAGCTTAATTGTCAGATTAGAAATGCACTCTTCACTCTAAAAGTTACAGAAATCCTTATTTATTCTTTGAAAAAGTCTTGTCCAGAATTAATAATTCCCAGAGGGAATAGCTTGTTATAAAATATTTTTGTTGATGTATTTTTAAAGCAGAGGAAAAAAACCATTATTTCCAAAACATGCTTTGTTTGGCTAATTCTAGGAGAGAATCACCTATTTCATCAAGAATCACCTATTTCATCAAGAAGTAAAAAGACCAAAGGACAACAGTATTATCCAAGTGACACATCAGACTTCTTTCAGTGATTTTTCCTTTGGACGTGTTTCTTGTACTTTTCCTATGATATTTCTTTTATTCACAGTGTGATACCCGTGGGATGTGGAAGTGATATAAGGGTAGAGACCATAGGAAGTGATGCTTCCAGCAATGACCAGAATGACATAATCACCACAAATGATGAGAGAAATTATCCATGTCCCCTAATACTTCGCCGATGAAAAAGGGAATGAAAACAACTCAGTGTAATCTTACAAAGAATGCTAACAGTAGGACATTCAAGAAGATCGGTCAAAATGGTGTTGCCGAATATAAATAAGGATTTAGTATGGGCAAATATAATAGAAAATTTATGAACGTATAAAATCAAATCCGGAGTTAGCAAAGGCACAGTACCGTGTGGAGAAAGCATGCAGTTTATTTCTGACATGTTCACTGCTGGTTGTATCTATAACGCACAGTGCCATAGACAGCTTCGGGAAGGCTTCAGATTGAAGTATAGAAATGTTAGCAGTGGCACAACATGACTTCCGAGCTAATTCAGCCAATGGGAGATGATAAACAAGGAAGGCTGAAGGACAACTGGTAAGAGACTTCAAATGCTTAGTGGATGTGCAAACAAAGCTCACATTTAGTATGTTTTTACTTATGTTTTACTTTTTAAAGTTTTTGGATCTTTCTTAATGTGGGACACTAGAAAAGGTGAGCTGAAACTCAGAGACAGTGTAATAGTTAACTTCAGTTGAATGGAAAGGTTTCACACAGAATATGATCTGGGGGTTACACCAGAGGATGCTGCAGGATTTCTGCGCCTGAAGACTGTTGAGAGGAGAATTGGTATTTCACCTGGAAAGCAATTGATATGGTTTGGAAGGTTGTAGAAGGAATAGCTAAAAAAAAAGAAAAAATCTCTCAAAGTCACTTCCACTTATCCTGGCCCTCAGAAATGAGCAAACACCCCAGGAAGAGAAAATGAACAATTTCAGAAGCAGAAACTGACCCCAGATGAGTATTTCTCAATCTAGTTTTTTCACTATCATCTTCCTAAAGAGCCCTTTTAGACATTCTATTCCTAATCATTCCCCATGAAATTTTAATACTAAATACATACTTTATATCTGTGCACATACTGTGGTTCCTTGGGAGGGCCATGACTCAGTGTAATATCAAAGATTTCTTCCCCACCTAAATCAGTTTTTGCACTCTTGGGCAATCACCTTTCATGAAAATACATGCTCTCTAAAATAAATCATCAGCCTGAATGGGAGGACACTGAGGATTTGCAGAAAAAAGCTATATGTATTTTAACTATGGCTCCAGGGACCACAAGAAATTCTCACTATCCAGCATACTCATGCATTACCTGCAGAAGGAAACTTTCAGCTTCTCCTTCCCCCTGTGACACAGGAAAAGAATTCTTTGTCACTTCAACAACATCTAACTGCAGTGGCTGTAATCTTTTGGAACTTCTGGACCTCTTTGGGATGGAAAGCAGTCTCACACTATAAAATGTATGAATATTGAATTTCAGAGGTTTATGATGAATTATGGACCTTAATAATGAATGCATCAGGCAGATGACACCTCAACTCACTAATCAAGCTTAGTAAAGGAGACAACTGAACATTACATGCTTCCTGGTGTGATGCAGAAAGAAAGAAATAACACCACTTATGTCATGTTCTGGCTAAAAATGTTTAACAGAATCTAATAATGAGGAAACAATCAGAAAAAAATTACAGATTGTGGGACATTCTGGAGCTCAAAGCAGCTTGAACTCTTTAATAATGTCAGCGCCATGAAAGACCCACATATTTGCGCACACATACACACACACACACACACATACCCCAAACATAGATAAAAGAAGGATTCTAATCCATTAACTGAAGAGATTGACAACTATGGGTATATGGATGTCACTGTTAATCTTTTCCTTTTGAAGTTCCCACTTTGACATTTCTCCAAAAAAAAAATCATAGACACATGTATTACTCAACTTCAAAATAATAGTGGGAAATGAGGGGGAGCCAGCCAGGTTAGAATGAAGAAGCCAGGTGTCAACTGTAGATCCAGAAAGCAGGAGATGCCTGAAGGGTCACAGGAGCTCAGATCCGCATTTGCCAGGAGATGTTCTCAGGATGTAGTCAAGCCAAAGACATAAAAAATCACCTGTAGTGATTTTTCTTCACAATTTGCCAAACAAAGTTCTGCGGGAATAGGAACTGTCTATAATTTAAAAATGAGTGGCTTGCCAGCACTTTTCCTAGAAGTGCTGATTAGCGCAGTGAGCAATATAACCACGAGGAAATTGTTCCAAGAAGTTTAAAAAAAAAAAAAATCCAGATTTTTTTTTAATTGAGTGGAAATTTCATATGCACAGTTAATAGAAAATAAACTTCAAAAGAATTCATAACAAAAGTCTTCAGAGTCCAGCATCCTACTTGATTAGGCACTATCGAAATGTCAGCTTTTTCAAGCAAAACTCCTGTGGTTTTCCATGGTGCCAAGCTTCAGAGTTCCTTCCAGGGACTGGGCTTCCTGCTGTCATTTCTCTGTTTCACTGCTCAACATTCCCATGGAGCACTTACTGCATAGCGCATACGTCAGGAAGACGTACTCATTTGTCTGTTCTCTGGATCCGTTAAACCAGAAATGATGCTGAGAAGATCTCTATCTTGTCCTCTCAAAGTCACTTAGGAAGCAAACAAAAACCAAAAAATGGTATGTTTGTTGTTGATCAGGACACAACAATATGAAGAGAGGTAGCAGCATTTGAATTCCATGAGACGGCTTTTGACAAAATACAAAGCAAGGATTGGTTTGCTGGGTTAGGTCAACACAGAATGCCACAGTGCCCAGAGAGTCAGTCCTTCTTAGTTTGGACCAAAGAAAGGTTTCATGCCTTTCCAGGTTCTTGTGGTAGCCCCAGACGGCTTTCACACGTCACATGTAATGAGACAAAGTCAGAGTTGTTAAGTTATTCTTTAATCAGTATTACATTAAAATTCACTAATACATTCTCATCTACTTCCCTTCACCAACTGCTATTTTGTCAAAACCAAATGATCACCGGAAGTACCATCACCCCCTAGTTACAGACTCTTGGGACCATCACAGTTTTGCGAATGAATCAGGGAAGGCAACATTACTTCAGCGAAAAGTGAAGTAGCTTTCAAAAGGCAGGATGCAGCACAGAATGAGTCTGTCTGCTGGGATCCAAACATTGGCAAGGATGGAAGAAGGAAGACGGCTCTAGCTTGCCTGTTACCTTGGCAACCATGGCAGGAGCATCACCCGGGCAGAAATTAACTTTGTTTTGTAACGTCAAATGTAATGGGCGTAGGAGGTGGGGATTGCGGAGGAACAGGAAGAAAACATAGACTGGATCTAGAAGCTCAGAGGGCCTGTTGGGAAGATAACAAGTCACTGGGCTGGCTGTCTGAGATACAGGCGTCAAATTACCCACTGTACTTTCCCCCCACTGAAATCTCAGTATTACGGAGAGACAGCCACCACACCCTTTTAATAATGAACAAACACTGCGCTAATCTGGCTCAGTGCTTCTGCGATCATTCTCGGTCATTTATAACTTCCTTTATTTCTCTCTTCGGAGAAACAGGAAAAAAAAAAATCTTGACTGGAAGAGACAAGAAAAAAAAAAAAAGATACTCTGTCCAGGGTGAACTGGTAACTAGCTAGCCTTAGGCTGGAGACCAGTCTGTTTCCTACAGTGAGACTGTGCAGACCCTGTTTGGGGCAGAGACAAGCCGCCCCGTGGAATGGTCCCTGATAAAACTGCTTGAGGGGCGGAAACTGCGCGGATGCTGTGAGCAGGCGGGCGTCAGACCTCCCAGCCGAGACCAAGCATCAAGGGCAGAAGTCTGCCGAGACGGCACAGGAAGGCTTGTTAGAGAAAAACTGGTTGTGCATCCAGAGTTCCAAAATTCACTGGGTACTTAGAACACACGTTACAGAAAAGGCAGACGGCTGACGAGACGGTAAGTGGAGAAGTAGGAATAAGGACCTTGGGCGCAAAACCTGAATTTCAGCAAAGCTTAGGTGGCAGGTCACAGGCAGAACTGCACAACTGCGCAGTGCGTGTTAAGTGCGGGGCATCCTTCCTCCAGGATGGGCGAGGGGCGGTCCTTCCCTCCCGGCGGGTCCACAGTCACGCTAGCAGCGCTCAGAGGTGGAGAGACACGAGGTGAGCGGGGACCGCTCTCCGGAGTCGCCGCTGGTCTTCAGCTGGGCCTGTTCCCGGCAGTGGGCGCGCCTCTCCAGCCGGGGAAGTCTCCCTCCTGCCCGCCTGGGACGCCAGGAGGAAAACAGCTTTCCTCTTTCTTCCGGAGGGTAAGATGGGGCCGTTAGTGACACATCCTGCTCGTCATCTCTTTCTGGAAAGCAGGGGGAGAAGGATGGTTAGGAGTAACTATAGGCAGAGCAATGACTTGTTGAAGGATTCTGAAAATGCCCTGGCAACCTCTGGAGCCTTTAAACAGGAGGGTACGACCATGGCCCTGGAATAAGGTTCAGCATACAGACATGTGCCTGTTGGCTGGACTTTTTGTTTCTTCCTTTTTTTTTTTAAATATATCAGAGCAATGTTTAAAAAACTTAGCCAACTTGCCAAAAATCCAGATTGCACTGTGTTTCAGGAAAAACTGCAAGATCTAGAGCCACTGGATAGCTGGAGTCAAGAATGGCTGTCCTCTGTCGATGGAAAATACTCTCTCTGGTTTGCCCCAGTCTCTACCACTCCCAGCTGTCTGCCCATCAGGAGTCTAAGTATCACTTACTGATTGATATGGTTAATTGGATTTTTCTTAGAGGAGAGCACAATTTCTCTTTCCCTAAGATTCGATCAAAGATGGAAGAACAAAAGCTAGCTTCAGTGCGTACAAGTCAAGAAAAGTGGGAGGAAGGGCATCTCTTAATAGAAATGAGGGATAGCCCGGTGTGTCTGCTGGGCAACCATATCAGCTGCCTGGTTCTCGCGGGCATTTACAGATCTCAGATGTGCCATCGGTTCTCTTTCTCGGGACCTCTGCACAGGCGAGACTCTTGCTTGTGGCCTGCTCCTAGCAGGCCCTGTCCTCCTTACTCGGCTAATTGCCATTCATGTTCCCAATTCCAGCAAGATGACTCTGACCTGCCTGGGAAGCCTTCCCGCCCCACCCACTGGGGATTTGCCACAACTCCTGCCTTTGCCCACCTGGAGTCATGCGCTCAAGGAGCCGGTTTGTACATCGTGTGTGTGTGCGTGCACGTGTGGACGGTGGGCATCTGTCTGCTCTACTCAGCTGTGAGTTCCAAAGTGTCAGGAAGAAGAAATCCTCACTGAACCCCTCATGTCTAGCCACCCATCTGGCACAGAGCAACGGCCCTTCTTTCATCCCCAAGAATGGCCTGCATTGCAGGCTGGGAAGGCACCTTGTGGCATTTAGGACACGTTTCATGTCCTTTTAATTAGTCAAGGAGCTGCTTCTGAGTTCCCCCTGCTGCAGAGCTGACGCAGCTGCTACCTCTCCTGTGCACTCTGACCCCAGGTCCCCCTCCAGCCGACACCCCCTTCCCCACAGGAAGCAGGGCTTTCCTGGTGGCTCAGACGGTAAAGAATCTGCCTGCGATGCAGGAGACCCAGGTTTGATCCCTAAGAGGACCTTGCAAACAGGCATGCCAGGTGCTCAGAGACTCGGTCAGAAAACCATACCAGCGTGCTGGTTAAAGAAATAGCCTAGTACACACAGCAGATCGAGGTAAATACTTTTGCATTCGTAAGACTAAATAAGGCAATTGCTTCAAGATACATATACTGAAAAATTAAGTGGCCATTTAGTTATGCTCAGTACTTGTACTATGGGCCAGGTACCTGGGAGATGAGGTCACTCTTCTCAAGGAGGTATACAGTTTATCAGGGAGAAGAAGATATAAAATACAATGATATAAACGTAACTCTTTAGAGGAGGGGATGATGCATAGTGGAACCCAATCTCCCCACATTTAGATCTCACTCTGTCCTCACTGGGCTTTCCTGATGGCTCAGTGGAAAAGAAGCTGCCTTCCAAAGCAGGAGTCTCGGGTTGCACCCCTTGGTTGGGAAGATCCGTGGAGAAGGAGATGGCAACTCCAGTACTCTTGCCTGGGAAACCCCACAGACAGAGGAGCCGGGTGGGCTGCAGCCCAGGGGGTGGCTGAGAGTCGGACATGACCGAGCGACTGAGCACAGAGTCTGACTTCGCCAGGGCCCTGAGTAGCCTCCCTGCGCCTTTGGGTTTTAGCTCGAGTGGCCCTTCTCCAGGGTTACCTTCCCGAACCTCCTGTCCTGCTCTTCCATGGCACCCGTCTTCACAATGGGAAGAGTCTATTATCTGTTGCATTCCTGCTTCCTGGATTCATCCCTTGTAAGATCTTGTAAGGTCCATGGAGAAAGGGGCTGTGCCTGCTGTCTGCTGTTTTCCCGATGCCTGGCAAGTGATGATGGAGAAAGCTTTGTCTAATCCAGCGGGGAATGGGCCCACAGTGTCCTCATCTGTGAGACGGACCCGGGATGCCTACTGAGGTGAGTGGGAAGCTTGAAAGTACTGATGTGCACAGGCTCAGTACATGTTCCCACTAAGAGTCGGACAGACTGAGTGACTAAGTACACTTGCTCGAGGGAACCCCGGCCGAAGCCGAGCCTGCAAACATGCTTCTGCGGCTGGAGCAGAGGGGCTGGGGCAGGATGGGGGCACAGGGCTGGGGAGACAGGTGACCACGCAACGGTGTGAGTAAGGACCCAGGCACTTGGTGTGGGGATGGAGATGATGACAACCTGAAGAGGGATTTGCTGTTCCTCTGTTAGGCTTCCAAAGGTTCTTGTGTTTTTGGTTAACTTTTTTTTTTTTCCGTTTATTTTTATTAGTTGGAGGCTAATTACTTTACATCATTACAGTAGTTTTTGTCATACATTGAAATGAATTAGCCATGGATTTACATGTATTCCCCATCCCAGTCCCCCCTCCCACCTCCCTCTCCACCCGATCCCTCTGGGTCTTCCCAGTGCACCAGGCCCGAGCACTTGTCTCATGNGTTTGAGAGGATATGGAACTTCAGCAAAGGTACAATGAGTCTGTGAAAAGGCAGGACCAGTGCTTTCCCCACCACACCATCAGCCTCACACACAAGAGAAAGACTGTTTACGAGGAAGCTTCTTAACATTCTTACAGGGAATGAATGGTTGAACCAGATCTGAAACTTGGGGAAGGCTCAGTTGGATCTGCCCTTCAAAAGCCTATAAGCTGAATGGATAAGGAAGTTGTGGTCCATATACACAAGGGAATATTACTCGGCTATAAAAATGAACGCGTTTGAGTCAGTTCTAATGAGGTGGATGAACCTAGAGCCTATGATACAGAGTGAAGTGAGTCAGAAAGAGAAAGACAAATACCATATATTAACACATATATATGGAATCTAGAAAGATGGTGCCAACAATCCTATGTGCAGGGCAGCAAAGGAGACAGAGACGTAACGGACTCAGTGGGAGGAGAGGGTGGGATGACTTGAGAGAATAGCACTGAAGCATGTACATTACCACATGTAAAAGAGGTAACCAGCGCAAGTTTGATGTATGTATCAAGCAGGGCACCCAAGGCCAGGTTGTCCTCTGACAGCCTGGAGGGACGGGGTGGGGAGGGAGTGGGAGGGGGGCGAGGGGTTCAGGATGGAGGGGACACCTGTATACCTATGGTCGATTCATGCGGATGTATGGAAAAGACCGTCACAATATTGGAAAGTAATTATCCTCCAATTTAAATAAATAAATAAATAATTTTAAAGCCTATAGGCTTTCACTACTGTATTCTAGTGATTCCCCACTGGGTGGCGCCAATGGGCCGGCTTAAACAAACAAACAAACCTGGGTCTGAGGATAAAACCTCAAACTAAAAAAACCGAGCTAATATTGGGTTCCATGGGTTTCCTCTCCATCAGAGCCCTCCTGCAGGCATCTAGCAGGGCCAAACACATTGTTTCTTACAGGAAAAGTGGCCTGAACAATAACTATGCAGTTTGCTCTTTAGGGATGAATTTGCTATTGCAGGAGTTACCTGAAGCCACCATGTCATATTAAGTCCACTATCGAACTCCAGCCTGGAGGAGGGCATGGCAACCCACTCCAGTATTCTTGCCTGGAGAATCTCATGGACAGAGGAGCCTGGCGGGCTACAGTCCATGGCATCGCAAACAGTCAGACACAACTGTTCGCAAAGAACAAGTGCTTAAGAGGTTTCTGCAAAGGTGGTGCGAATTTTCTCAGAAATGTCCCTAAACTCTGTATTTGGCTTGTATACAAAGACTTTTCAAGCACCTGGATTTTAAGAAATCCACACTCCAGTATTCTCGCCTGGAGAATCCCATTGACGGAGGAGCCTGGCGGGCTACAGTCCATGGGGTTGCAAAGAGTCGGACACAGTTGAGTGACTAAGCAACAAATTCTTAAGAAAACGATCAGGATTTGGTTGCGCTCCCTCCGTGTCACTGCTTTACATAAGGCAGTAATTGATTCTGTAAAGAACCCCATTCCCTACTCTCAGCAGAACAAATTCCACACTCTGCAGCCGGGCAAACCAAGCTCTTCGTAGCCCCGCCCACCAACCCTGCTCACCTCCGGGTGAAGCCCCGCCCACTCGCCACACCTGCCGGGCAAACTAGATTCTTCCCCGTCTCCAACAGCCCAGTTCTATAAGGCTTCTAGTGGCTTCTCACCGACTGTTTCTTCTACCTAAGAAATGCCTCTGCCCTTCTATGCCTGGCAAACTTTGACATCTTTCAAGATCCAACCATCAAAATATTCTGATTTAGGCACTTGGAAGACAAAGGAAGGGGAATGGTTACAATTAATAATTAAGAACCAAATTCCAGTTTCCAATAGTATATAGGCTATATTAAACAATTGAAGGTGAATGGATGAACTCTTAACAGAAAGGTGTGTTTGTGTGTGTATGTGTGTGTGTATTTATGTTGTGATTATATATATATAAAGTTGTAAAGTGAAAGTGTTAGTTGCTCAGCCATGTCCGACTCTTGCAACCCCATGGACTGTAGCCTGCCAGGCTCCTCTGTCCAAGGGATTCTCCAAGCAAAACTACTGGAGTGGGTTACCATGCCCTTCTCCAGGGGATCTTCCCCATCCAGAGATGGAAACTGTGTATCTTTACATCTCCTGCATTGGCAGGGGGTTCTTTATCACTAGTGCCACCTGGGAAGCCCAACAGTATTTATGGTTTGATCCAGTTACTTTAGGAAAAAATATAAATTAAGAGTTCAGCATGGTAAGTTCACCTCTGGGTGAATGAAATAATATATGTTATCTATTTCTGGTATTTGTCTTTTACATATTTGCTAGATTTTTTTT